ACAGAGTTGCAGGTTCACAAGCTACCATGCCTGAGGCTTGGGTACATTTTGTAGTTTTCCTGAGGCAGGGTTGGAAGTTTGTCTTGTGTTGTGCTGGTGGTGACATGTTAGCTATAGCAGTAGGTGCTCTGTGCCCTCAGGTAATGTGAAACAGAGTTGCAGGTTCACAAGCTACCATGCCTGAGGCTTGGGTACATTTTGTAGTTTTCCTGAGGCAGGGTTGGAAGTTTGTCTTGTGTTGTGCTGGTGGTGACATGTTAGCTATAGCAGTAGGTGCTCTGTGCCCTCAGGTAATGGCAAACACTCCCAACACTACAGGCACATTTCACATTAGCTACAGGTCCAGGCTTGGGTACATTTGTACCAGTGCTCAGCTCAGGGGCAGGGTTGGTGGGATTTGGTACTGTGGTGGGATGGGGAGGTAATGTGACCTCAGGTTCACCTCTGATAATGAGGAACAGACAAGAAACTGATGAAGTAAATCCCTCAGTCTTTAACCCAGCAGGCATTGAGGTGTGTCTGGGGACCTGTGGTGCTACTGTGTATCTGCTACTGTGTGTAACAGGATCTGCTATAAGTGCTTCCTTGCTACTGTGCTAGCTACTGTACCTGCTACTGTGTTTGCTACAGTAACTGTATTTGCTACAGCTACTGTACTTACTACTGTAGCTGCTACAGTAACTAAGTAAGTATTTCTGTAAACCTGGGACCAAAGTTGAGCTACAGTAACTTTAATTTTGCTACAGTTACTGTATTTGCTACTGGTTTTGCTACTGGGTTTACTACAGTAACTGTAGTAAGGTCTTGCTACTGTGACAGTATTTCTGTAGACCTGGGGACCAGTTTAAAGTCTGTAGATTTGCAGGTCCCGTGTTGTAACAGCAAATGCCAAGTTCACGACCAATATGATATTCCTGTAGGCAAAATTGGGACCAAATTAAAGTCTGAAGACTTGCAGGCTAGGTCCCATGGTATAGACAGTTAAGCAAGCACAAACCTGAACTTGCCAAGCAAATGCCAAGTTCACGTCTATCTATGTTATTAATGTAGGTGAAATTGAAAGCATGTTCTGAACTTTATTATGTCACCCTCCAGACAGAAGCACACCAGAGACCCGCGAGCAGATCAAATATTAATCCAGTCTAGACGAGAACAACTCGTTATTTATGAATTATTAAATCCTGCCACAGAAACAATCAGGGTGACAAATGTGGCAGGATTTAGACACTTAAATGACAGAAAAATTTGCAAAGGTCTTTCATTTATTTAAACCCTGGACCAGAAGTCACTACAATCTGCGGGCTGCGAACTCATGACCTGAGAACAAAATCATCCCCCAGCCACCCTCACGTCAGAGCTATCAACATTTGGGCTTCAGATCAAACTGGACAGATATCTTATTGACAATGACAATGACAATGAACTTTATTGCATGTTCACGCCCTACACGGGCCAAATGCACTTAAGTTAAATAACTTGGTAACAAGAATAGAAGAAGTCATTGTAACATTCGTGTGCTATTTCTCTATCTACAGGATCTAACTACAGGATCTCTTCTCTCTTTTTGAAACATGTATGAACAAATTTATTATTGTATCTAGAACTACCGTGTCTGCCTAGTTCTATTACCAGTCCTGATGGGTTGGGGGTTTAACTAATATCAGCATATCCAAGAACGTAGATGTGCCCCAGGTACGATTCTGGATAGGTGTGGACTATCCAGAACTGTGCCTGAGCACGGTCCTGGATGAAGCATGATTCTAGATATGTACACCAGTGTGTCCTCCCATCCCCACCAACAGTTCCTGAAACTCCCCTGTACACACCAGTAGTTACTGAAACTCCCCTGTACACCAATGTGTCCTCCCATCCCCACCAACAGTTCCTGAAACTCCCCTGTACACACCGGTAGTTACTGAAACTCCCCTGTACACCAATGTGTCCTCCCATCCCCACCAACAGTTCCTGAAACTCCCCTGTACACCAACACCAGTAGCTCCTGCATGTACACAAGACTTCTATAGCTACTTGAGTCTCCAGGTAACTCCTACAGGAAGCAATCAGGCTCCAGGACTGCCCAGATCTGCCCAGAGCTGCTCCCAGCCTGTAACCTGTTACTGTATGTTGTACCCAAGGCTGTTAGAGTCCCCATGCCAGGTACATTGTGTAACTTATACAGGAAGCAATCAGGCACCCGGACTGCCCAGATCTGCCCAGAACTGCTCCCAGTCTGTAACCTGTTACTGTATGTTGTACCCAAGGCTGTTAGAGTCCCCAGGTACATTGTGTAACTCATACAGGAAGCAATCAGGCACCCGGACTGCCCAGAGATGCCCAGAGCACTGCTCCGACCTGTAAAGTGTTTCCTGTGCTGCACAGGGACTGCCGTAAACTGTTTCCAAATGTCAGGCAGACACACGAGGGTCAGGCACAGCAGGCTGAGTGATCAGGAGATTTCCCTCCTGGCCACTTTTTCTGTGCAACATGTCCACTTCCAACACTTACATGTAGTCTACTAGTGACAGTACTGTATAGTAATAGTCAATATACTACTAACTCTGCAACATGTCCATTTCCGAACAATGCTTAGTCTACAACTGTACGTATACTCATACAAAAAATGTATATTCATATACTTACTAGTAACTCTGCAACATGTCTACTTCTAACACTAATACTATATATAGTTACATAGTTTTTTACTGCGTATTATACAACATGTCTACTCTCATTACCTCCGGGGGAGGAGACATCCTTCCAAGGAAGGGTTTTGTGGGAGATTTAGATTTTCATGTTCGCAGCTGTTTCTCGCGTTTGGGTGGACGGATTTTTTTTGGACTCGGTGTATGTTTTGCTATTGGGCTGTAGATGAAGCACGTTCTTTTGTTTTTATCGTATATGTGTTTTCGGGCGTGAAAATGGTGCCTTTTGGTGGCCCCAGCATACCCCTTTGAGCGTGAAAATGGTCACGACCGTTGACCTTTGGCGTGTTTAAGATATTCTCGGTCTGGTCCACGTATATGACCCCTCGCACAGAGGGGTGTCCGGTCTCGATAAATTCTTTGTTTAAAACCCTAGTCCTGCAGTGCGCAACAATTGTTGTTGTGCACAATATTCAACACCATCAACTATACATAACAAACAACATATAAAATAATTATACAATAAAAAGCTCGGAGGTATAAAATCTCAGATTTTACTTGTTTTAGCTAATACTAGTAATAGTATACTGTGTACTTTTGTATCCAGAACTGTGCCTTATCCTAACCCTAACACTTTCACTGGGTACAGTCTGGTTAGGGGTGCAGTCTGGCCTGCTACACTGGGTACAGTCTGGTTAGGGGTGCAGTCTGGCCTGCTACACTGGGTACAGTCTGGCTAGGGGTACAGGTTGGGCTGCTACACTGGGTACAGTCTGGCTAGGGGTGCAGTTTGGACTGCTACACTGGGTACAGTCTGGTTAGGGGTACAGGTTGGGCTGCTACACTGGGCCACCCAACACTACAGGTGGTCCTACTGACGCATGTCCCCTGTACGTACGTGACCCTGGCATGACGTATAGGATATATGCAGTTCCCAGCTCACTCACTATCCAGTTTAACATCTGTTGTTCCCCAGTAAGCTGAAGACGTGCTTGCAAACTCAGATGCCGAGGCTTGATGGCAGCCCGCCATGTGCCTCTATCCTGTGGACTCACACTGTGTAAGTAAGGGCAGTGGAAACCCCCCCTTATGTAAGATAACAGTGTATACTGTGTGTGTGTGTGTTGGCCATGGGAAGGGCCCCAGTTCCTGTACAACATTGCCGACATGCCTCCTCCACCACTCACACATACCGAACAACTCCAACCAACTCACGCCCTAGCAACCGTCCTGCCACACCCGGCGACGCGCATGTCATCCCTGCACACACCCTAGCAACCCAGGGGCCACGCCCGGAGATGCCTTTGACCTGTGTACATGGGTCTAATTCTGTCTTGTGTTGCAGCTTGCCTGTGGGACTGTGAGGAGACAGACCTACATGTGAAGACTTCCTGACAAACCCTGCCACAGACTGTGTCTATAGTGAAGCTCCCAAACTAAAGGTAAATTCTGTCTTGTGTTGCAGCTTTGCCTGTGGAACTGTGAGCAGACAGACCTACATGTAGCTGTGCAGACTTCCTGACAACGAAGCCCAACCACTGCGATTCTAGTGAAGCTGCTACATCTCCCAAACTAAAGGTGAGTTGTG